AAACAAAAATATCACAGTGTTTCACATGATACATCAGATCAGATGAGCCAGAAGCCATCGGAGGAGGCTAACAGCAACCAGGTTATTGCACGTTCAGTTGACAGTATGGCTTAATGTGGTAAATTCTTCTTGTTTACCATGTAGTGACTCTGTTACTGGGATACCTGCACTTGAGGTGATAAGAGCCTTACCCAGCAGCCAGGGGTGGGAGATTGGGGTGGCAGGGAAGGAAGTCTCTGTATGGAGATACACAAAAAAATACCACAATACAACCCATTCATGTGAAGAAGGAACAACCTGGGAGATCCCTTCTCCATTCCACATTCATCTCACAAAAGAGCAGGTGTACCATTTGACAACACTACCAGAGAAAAAAAGAACAGTGCAGTGTGACTGGTTATGAAAAGCCCCTGAAGTGTTTTCCCTGCTTTGCAGCCAACTAATAGATCCACATTTATTTTTATTGAACTCAAAGTGCTTGTAACTGAATGAAAGTTAAAGTGGTTTAGCACAATTCTAAACCTAGAGAAAAATCAGATATTCTAAATATTCCCTACAGGCAATTAATTAATAGGAGTAATTGATTTCACTGTCAGGCTCTACCCCATTGTGATATTTGCCATTAGCAACAACCACAAAATAGAGGACTTAGAACAGGGTGTCTGCACATAAGGAAGAGCAAGCAATCAACTTCCATCACCTTTTGAGAACAAATTTACACAAACATCCAGCTACAAAAGAGGATATGAGATAACTAGAAACAAAACTTCAGTATTGCCTTCTGCCTACTGTGGATAAGGCTATGAAGAGATCCTCTGCTGCAGAGCTCAGTGGACTGCAAAGGTGTTTAATGCCAGAACATGGTTTGAATCCAGACTCTTTTTCTAAATATATTTATTTTAATACAATCAAGATAGATTTTGAAATGCCTAGATATTACATTTCCCCAAACCTTTCCTATAAAAATTGGGATAAAGCCAAAGATAAATCATTTCCTGGACACAAATCCAGGAAATAAAAAGAGAAAATTCCCCCAAACCACATCACATTGGAATCAATGCTCCTCACAGTGACCCTTGAACACCTGAATTAACTATATATTCTATATTATACTTAAATCATCTTAAATAGAGAAGACGCATTACTGGAAATTCACCACTGAATATGAATTCAAATCTTACAGTTCTAATACAACAGTAAAACAAACCTTGAAGATTTTGTAGTGCTTCTACAACCGTTCACCTTCCTCTTTGTAGCCCTTACAAAACACCCAGGTACACACTCCTACCTGGCATTTCGCAGGTGTGGTTTTCTGACCCTTTTTTATATGGACATGGACAGGGGTGTTTTCATCCACATGGACGTGCAAAGGGGGAGATGAGGAACGGTTCTTCATGGCTCTTCTCCCACAGATGGGAAAGGGCAATACAATGAAAGGAAACCTGTGAATAAGGAAACTGGAAATAACAACACTTCCCTCCCTCTGTGCCAGAGGGCAACAATGGCTGGCTTTGGTTAAAGTTGGAGCTTGCTTTCAGTAGTGTGCAATTCAAAATGGCAGATGCTATTCTGCTGTAAAGCTAGGATTAATGCACATAATTTCTCTGCTTCTACTATTTTCTGCTTTTAGCATGGTTATTAAAGACCACATGCAGTTAGATTGATGGCAAGTGTCTGTAAGAGTCACTGGAGTTCAAAGTCTTAGAGCAAGTGAGCAAATCAAGAGTTCCAGTAACCAACACAATCTGAGTATGAAGAGAAGTGTGAAGGGAAAAGAAGAGGAGCCTTTAACATACTTTTTAGCAGAACAGTTTAGTTAAGAAAAAACAGGAAATTATCAGGATCCTTCCATCCTAGAACTCTGAACCTACAAACATTTTCATATGTGCTTAACTTCATCTTTTTGGTGTTAAACAAATGTTTAAAAACTTTGAGATCATAGCAAGTCTTCAGAAAAAAGCATAACCTTAAACAATATCTAACATAACACAGAAAAAGCCTGGAGATGCAAGGTTAAAAGTCATCACCTTTGAGTTTGATGCTTCAGTAAAGATAACAGTATAACGCAATTGCAAATCTTACTGAAAATCCACCAGCAGCACTAATCTGATTCTAGCAGAAAGGTTTTTGTAAGCCTAGTTAAAATTACTTACAGTTATCCTAAAACTTTTAGCTCTTCTAGAGACTGTGCTCCATGTATAGACTGAAGTCATTTCATCGTTGATAGATGAGGGACACCTGATACAGAAATAATAAAATGACTAACAGGAAAAGGTGCCCATTTCTGAACATCCTTTTCTTTACAATTTAAGGCAACATGCAGGCTCAAACACATCAAATATATGAACCCAAGCAACAAAAGTTGGCCAAGTGCAAGGTCCTGCACATGGGTTGAGGCAATCCCAAGCACAGAGACAAGTTGAGGGATGAGGGGATTTGAGAGCAGCCCCAAGGAGAAGGACTTGGGGATATTAGTGAATGGAAAACTGACTGTGAGTCAGCAACGTGCACTCGCAGCCCAGAAAGCCAACTGTGTCCTGGGCTGCATCAGAAGTGTGGCCAGCAAGCTGAGCATGGGGATTCTTCCCTCTTACTCTGCTCTCATGAGACCCCCTTGCAGTGCTCTGGGGCCCCCGACATCAGAAGGACATGGACCTGCTCAAGCGGATCCAGAGGAGGCCACGAAGATGCTTGGGGGGCTGGAGCACCCCCCTGTGAGGACAGGCTGAGAGAGTTGGGGGGTTCAGCTGGAGAAGAGAAGGCTCCAGGGAGACCTTCCAGTACTTAAAGCTGGGGAGGGACTGTTTATCAGGGAGCATAGTGAGAGGACAAGGGCGATGGTTTTAAACTGAAAGAGGGTGGATTCAGATTAGATATAAGGAAGAAATTCCTCCCTGTGAGGGGGGTGAGGCCCTGGCACAGGTTTCCCAGAGCAGCTGTGGCTGCCCCCTCCCTGGGAGGGTTCAAGGCCAGGTTGGACGGGGCTTTGGGCAACCTGGGCTAGTGGAAGGTGTCCGTGCCTGTGGCAGAGGGTTGGAACTGGGTGATCTTTAAGGTCCCTTCTAATCTAATCCATTCTGATTCTATGACACCAGGCTTAGTGAACTAATCTTAGGGTAACGCTCCTTCACGATTTGCCACACAACAAAAAGTGTTAAAAGGAAAGTGTTACTTGCAGTGCAGTAGACCAGGATTTTGTACAATGTTTCTGCTAGACTAGAATTTAGATCACTTGCTATAGCTCACTGATTAATCTGTCAGTTTGTCAAGGCTCATGTAATAGCGTACTCTAAATAAAACTAATAATACTGCACCTGTTTTAAAGTAATATGTTTTGTCTTAAACACACCTGTACATAACGTCAGATTTATGAAAATCACAGAGGGGAAGACACATCAGTACTTCCCTCAGTCAGAAATAGGAAGTGGCAGCTTTCTGAAGGAACAGGATTCCCCAGCTTCTGGCTATGACCAACCCCAAGCATCACTGGGTGTTTTTATCCTCTTCTTTCCAAAGAGGGGTTAAACTCTCCTCAGGCCCGAATGTACACACCCCCTACAGCACGGACTGAAAACTTGAGAGCTTTTGAATCACCGCAATTCGGCTGCTGTTACCCAGCTGCCCCTAGCAACAGGGTTTATTTCAGAAGTTTAAGTTCTCCTGCCATCTCTGGAGCCTTTGCAAAGGATCTGCGGCTGCCTCAGCCTGGCAGGGACATAGTCTGAGGTCAGTCTCCTGCTCACAGCAGGAGCAGCGCTGAGCTCAGAGCAGGGTTTTACCCTCTCGGGGCTGGAAAACCCCCGGGGACGGCGCCACACCCCGAGCAGCCCGTTATACATTTGAAGTCGCCTGATCGTTCCCGCTTTCCCTCGCCGCGGGAAGGACCGTCCCAGGGGCTACGTCCCACTACTGACACGGCGGGGAAGGCGCCGACGGGCTAGCTCCCGGGGGCTCAGACCTCCCGCGGCCACACGGCGAGG